CCTATGCGCGAAGAATATGAGCGAGCCTTGAAAGAGCGATTCGCCGTCGTTCAGCACAGACGCAGTCGATCCGAAGTGGTTCCAAATATATATTTACATTCAGCGTTCAATCTCTATGCGTACGCCAGTGCATGAGCACCCACGCATCGCCTGCATAGTATCGTAGTCGCCACGTGACTGTCTTGCGCGAATCATGCACGGGTGGCTGATGCTCGGTGCTACTCCCCACAGCTCTCGGGCAGCTCGAGGGCGATGTTAATGGATCCCTCGTCGCATGATACGTTGTCTGGTTCAGCTTCCTTCGCTGCCATCCATGTTTTCGAACGTTTTCATAGCTCTTAAGCAACAGTCTTCATGGGTCACAGGAACAGAACGAAAAAAGATACAACCCTAATGGAAATAGTCTTCATTTGGGTTGCCCAGCGCGACATTTCCACAATCTTCAGCCACAAAAAATGTCGTTTAGTAGAAAGATACTCATGTCAGGATTTGAAGCAAGCCATTGCTCTTAAGGGTGGTGCACGCCAATACTCTATGCTGAAATTGAGCATGACGGCCGAATGATGCAAGCACTAACCAAAATAACTGCCGACCGTAGGGATCCCAAAGTATACAACTAAACCCTTTACGTCCAAAGAACTGGCATAAGCCACGGCCCTGTTGAATCCATTTAGCATCCTGCATGCGGCTGAACCTGCAAGTGCATCCCGATTTGGAGATGTCGCAACCGACGTCCAATTATCTCGCCCCAAGAATAGCGGCTCCGTAGTGCACGCCCAGCAAGTCCCCAAGAGACCCAAGAAGGACTGCTGCCTGCGGACCAAATGGGTTTTGGACATATACTCGACCAGGCACCTGTGCCGAGATTACTCACAATCTGCGTCCAGTGGGCCGCGTGACATATAATCCTAGGTGGAGCCCTACGTAACAGAACATCGTCCGCGGCCATGCACCTGTGGTGAGCACTGATGCAGAATAATGCAGCAGCTGTGCTGCCTCCTTGCCGATTCAGATAGCCTGTTCGCATGTCGCATATTCTCACGTTCTCTAACGCCAACTTCACCCAAACTCCATTTGCTTCAGGCCAGAAAAGCAAACGCACACAGTGCCATCCAACGATGATCCCATATTCTTGCACAACAAATGTGAGGGCAGATAAATGCCCCTTGCCACAGAGAGGGTCTACACAAACTGCCGGCAGAGCCACAGACCGTGCCAAACACTAGCCTGTGCAGCTGCAAGAAGCACACTTGTCTCAATGTGTCGCCCATATAATGTACTTGCCAGTAGGATAGCCCACTTCCCGCTGTACGTTGCAGGTGCACTCTCGGATATATCAGAATGCTTACTGAGCCCGTTAGGCGCCCTGTGCATACTGCAGAGACCAACGCACCTCCTCCTAAAGCAGCGCAAATGTGGTCTAGAGACAGTCGCCCTCATTGGGAAGAAGTTGTATAGAGGTTGAGTGCAAGTCCTAGCTTTGGCATGTCTCAAAACTTGTCCCTTTATAGCCCAATCAACCCATAGCAAGAAGGCGAATAGAAGCCGCTCCTGCTTGAGCGATGGACTCTCGTTAAAACGTGTGTCTGCCCACTTCCTGTAGGTTGGTCGAATCCATGCGCCCTGGAAATTATCATCCGCCCTCCCGGTTGTTTTCCCGTACCATGTACATCCACTAACGTGCTCGCAAACGCTGAACAATACGTCGACAAGGAGAACACTTCTGAGTTCACGACCCACATGGCCGTGTCATCCACTTTAACCGGTTAGCACGTAGAATAGCTTCACAGTAGGGGGATATTGTGCCATATATATGCCAAGAACGGACGCTTCACTCATCGTGCACTGTTCGAACCTGTCCTGTGCCCCGCACAGGCCGGTACGCAATGCATGTCCAGTACCAACAGTCAGTACTTGGCATTTCACGAATGTGTCAACTTTAGTGCTTCCCATGAATCCTAGGAAGCAAGCGATAGCAAGTGGAATGGTTGCCCTCGCAGAACTACCGGGGGCTGCCGTGTTGTAAGCTAAAAAGATCTGGAGCCTATATCATCAGTCGCCCATCCAGCAAGGCAACCAGGCAAAAGCATTGGAGTTGTCTTTGGGGAAGCAGTGACCACGGAGGCTTACATGGATACCCACACTGTGGGGAGACGAGCGTACGCAGCAATGGCCTGATTAAAATGGGGTATAGCACACTGGTCAAGGATTTTGTTGTGGTGCGCGGCGAAATTCACAGATGAGCACATTCCTGCAGTGCATTCCCTGTGCAGAATCCTGACTGTTCATACCTACTCTCCGGTTGAGGAGCAAGCAAACCCTCGGGACATGCACAGTTGCTTTCACCCAAAAGCCGCAATGATTGTGGTGCTGACGTCGCTGTGTAAATCAACATGTGCTCCATACCACTGTCTTCATGCTGTTTGAGAACAACCCACTGGCTGAATAGCGCAGCAGAATTGTCCTGATGACGCTTGCACAATTTCCTACAGCTGAAGCGGCTGCGTTTGTGAAGCGATAACTTTGAATTAGCAGAGATGAGACTCGATTTCGTTTCAGATGCCAGGTGGTGCCTCCTAATGCAGCTTGTGATTCTTGTCAGTACATGACCCTGTTCAGATATTTAAGCATCGCGCATCTGGTACACAGACAGAGTTCCTCATTGGACCACCTGAGGGCTTGCAGTGTGTAGAGTGATGGCTGGGTACCTAGCAATGATTGAATTGGACGTCGGCTGCGATGGTAACAGGGCAGGACATATTGGGGGCCAGCCAGTTACCGGATGATGCATGGTTTCAAAAACACTTTAGCTAGCTGTTTTATGGTAACAGTTACTTTGACATACCGGACTCAGGATGGTTTTAGCGTTGTGGGTTGACAGCGGCCTTAGGGTTTGCATTTGGGAACGATCCCAACCTGAGTAACTGCTTAGGAACAGCTACTGAAACGTTCCTGTCCTGCGTGGTAGTGTCCTCAGCGCACTGCGGAGGTGGGCGACCCATATGAAGCCACTTTGCAGAGAGGATATGCATATCACACTTTGTATGGTGCTTGCTCTCCATTCCGTATGGTAGGGAGGTTGTTGATAGGCCCAATTACGATTCACTGAGAGACACTGAAGTGCGGACGCGCTGATTACCATATATACTATCTTCATTTTCACTGGTTATGTGGTGCTGGTACAAAACACATACACAGCGAAACACTTAGAACACAGGCTGGTGCTGCATATCATCAAGCACGCTAGCAACCTATTCCATTCAGAGCGATGTTGGGCGTGTCCCGGTAAACGAGGAAGAAGAGCGCAACCAGCTAGAACTAACTACCGCCACAGTAGACGCTTCATGCCCCTGGTGAACAGTTTACAAACACTACCTGCAACGACTCGGTCACTTCTTTGATCCTGCAGGCAGCATTTGTCGGAGCATAAAGAAAAACATATATTTAATTTAATTATATGGTAAGGGGCATATGCGTTTACCGGCATCCACGCGTTCTACGGTGTTAGAGGAAAGCATTTTGTGGCACATATTCGGCAGCTGCAGACCCGTGGGTTTATTGTACTTTCTCTGGTTGCAACATTCTACCAGTTGAACAGGCAGGTTCCTTTCACACTTAACAGACATTTCCATCTGTGTTCACTCATTCAAGTCTGGGTTAATGGTGCCAGAAAACGTTCAGCAAGAAAGCATCCGGTTCAATTACTGAAACATTACACCATTTTGTAGGCAATTTTGTCCTTCTGTCTACGAAATATGTTGAGTACGACCGGAGGAGACATGTTGTGTATTGTGCTCGCAAGACTAGCAAGCGGCTCTGGCATACGGGGCCGCGATATGCTCCTCTCCAAATGCTTACTACTGCCTCAACAAAACCGCACACAAGCATTTATGCCGAGTAGGGTCAAAATTTTGAAGGCTTCCTTGTCCCACCATGCTAGCAGTCACTGAGCCATCTCTGATCATCAGAATGCAGACCCCTGCACTACACGCTATAATAGCTTCAAACCAGCCCGCATCCCTTCGATTTGTAGTACGTATGTTATTTGGCTTGCTAGCAATGTTCCTTTTCTACTTCAGCGTAGGCTCAAGCATCTCCTCTCAGCTTCCCCATTTTACAGGCCTCTCGGCCTGTAAAATGAGAAAGCTGAGAGGAGATGCTTGCCAAAGAACCTCTCAAAGCGTTGCTCCCCCCAGCATTCGTCTACAATTTGGGGATTTTTGTTGACAGTTTAGTGTATGCAGTATTGAGGTTTAGAGTTTATGATTTGTCCCTCTTCGGCGTTTAGGGTTCAGGGCTTAGGGTTCGGGGTCTAGGGCCCACGTTTCGGGTTTCCGGTGTACGGCTTACCGTTTCCGGCTTATGGTTTAGGCTCTTAGAGTTTAGGGCTTAGGGCTCAAAGTTTAGGCGGTAGGGCTTAACGTTTCGGGTTACCAATGTTTTACGGTTTAGGGTTTAGGGGACAGGGCTTGACCATGTGGAATTAGGGTATACGCTTTAGAACTGTAATTGGGGGGTCGAGATTGCAAGGTGGAGTTCTGGGGATGAAGGTTTAGGGTTTCCGGCTTTAGGGTTCTGGAGTTTACGGGTTAGGAGTTTTACGGTTTAGGTTATAGGGTCTAGGGTTTGGCGTTCTGGGCTAGAGGGCTTTAAGCGTTCTAGTTTGTAGGGCTCAGGGCGTAGGGGCCAGTTCAGGGGTCAGAGACTGACAAAAACAATTAAGTCCTCAGTCGCTAGTATCTGCCTTCGTTTCTATCTGTCCGCTTATGTCTGCGTCTGTTTCTGTTTGTTGCCTGCATGTCTCTGTCTCTCGCTGGCCCTCGCGTGCTGACTAGCAACTGCTGCTGCTGCTGATCGGCGTGTCCTGCTGCGCAGCTGCACAGACACCGCAACTGGCGGACTTCCGGGACAAAGATGAGCAAACCTTGAAAAAAAGGATCCAGGGCATCGTTTGTTGCTACTTCTGTTACTGCGCATGAACGAAAGAAATACCGCTGGACCTAGAGAAAATCATCGAGGTTATCATCTTCCTCCTCCTGAGGCTGCTGCTGCAGATGCTGCTGCAGCTTCTGGTGCTGCTGCTGCTCCTCCCCACTCAAAGAGCGTTGCAGCTGCAGCGGCTCCCGTGCTGCTGTAACAACGGCGGGCACACGGGCGGCAGCAGCAGCAGCATTACTGGGGGCAGCATTACTGACAGCAGCAGCGGCAGTTGCATCTGCTGACGCCGCAGGTGGCCAAGCTACAGCTGCAGGCTGCTGCTGCCGCACCACGTGTTGCAGTGGTTGTTGCGGAAGCGTCTGCATCATCTGCGGCTGCTGAATCTGCTGGTGCTGTTGCTGCATTTGGAGCTGATATTGTTTCGGCTGCGACTTAATCTGGTGTGTCGGTTCATGCTGCTGGGACGGAGTCAACAGCTGTTGCTGTTGCGTTGTTTGGGTGGGCTGCAGTGGCATCTGTGCCTGCTGCTGCACCTGCTGAACTGTCTGGCGTTGTTGCTGCTGCTGCCATGCATGTGCCTGCTGCTGCTGCTGCATCGGCGCTGGAAACGATAGCTCTTGCCGGCGCTGCTGCTGCTGCAGCAGCAGCTGCTGCTCTTCCGTTGTAGCCGTGCCAGCAAGAGAGGACGGTTGCTGCTCCTGCATGGCTATTATGTTTCCTTTGGTCTCCAGAGCAGCAATAAGGGCATTTCTGTCGGCGGCAGTTGCTACTGCTGCAGCAGCAGCCGAGTCAAGGAAGGCCAGCTGCTTCTCTAGTCCGTGCTGCTTGTGGTGGTACTGCAGTGCAGCTTCTGAGAGGAAGCAGCAGGAACAGCTGCTGCATTTGCAACAGCGAAGGGACATCGATGGCCCTATCTCTTCAGCGCCTAATAGACGGCTGCTACATCTGCAAGAAAAGCAGCAGCAACAGCAACAAGCGCACCAGCAGAGAAAAAAAATAACACTACAGCAGCAGCTGTAGCCACACAGCGGTACAAAGCGGCACACACAGAACTTCTGAGACAGACCAACAGCAAAAACAGCAGCTACAACAAGGGCAGTCGCTGCAGCAAGAGCAGCACCAGCAAGAGCAGCGCAAGCAACTGCAGCAGCAAGGTATACGTACAGTCCACACTGCCCTGAGGCGAGCATCTGTTCAGTACAAGAGCTGCATGCCAAGTGAAGGCAAGGGAGCTGCAGAAGAGAAACAATCACAAACCCACGACACTAAACACCAGGCTCAAAACCCTTGCAAAACCCCGGCAAGTGCTTCTATATGAAGTGGCACTTCTTTCTATGCTGCAGTTGCTGCTGCTGTTCTTGCTGCTGCTGCTAAGGCTTCTGATACAGAAGTAAAGCTTAAATTTCGAGTACGAGTTTCGAGGACTTCCGCGGCAGGAGGTCTAGGGTTTGGGTGGCTCTGAGGGTTTTGGTTTGGCATTGAAGTTTAGGGTTTAGGGTTTTCTCACCGTTCTGCATGTCTGAGCCATAGGGAGTGCACATACACCGCAGAAGAAGGTCTTGGGGTCCGCCACAGTAACCACCTCGTGCTTCAGTTGCTGTACACGGGGCCGCACTGCAGCAGTAGTAGCACCAGAGGAGCCCCGCGTTGCTGCTGTTCCTGCTGCTGCTGCTGCCCCTGCTGCAGAAGGAGGGACAGAAGAGCCCCTCCAGAACCCCCCGCTGCGAAGCGGCGGCCCAAGCATTTCCGGGGACGGAATCTGCCGTTGCTGCTGCTATTGTTGCTGCTGCTGTCCTTGCTACGACAGCGCTTCTGCTGTTGCTGCCCCTGCTGCTTCTGTTGCAGAAGAAACGCTTCTACGTCCCCACGACAGATGTTCAGCTGGATTTTTGATCCTTGTGCTTGCGCTGCAGCGATGCATTGTACGTCTGCTTCTGCCGCTGCTGCTGCAGCAGCACACAAAAGGTGGGCGCTCCCCTTCTGAGCAACTCCTCGACTCTGTGAAGGCCTAAAGAAGGATAATTTATTGAATTTCTTAAGCTGCCAGCAAATTTGCTGCAGACTTGGAGCAGCATGCATGCGCGCATGCGTGCATGCATGCAGCTGCCCTTGCTGCTGCTCCTGCAGCCTTGCAGGAGATGTATAGCTTTTCTTGTAAAGAAACTGGCCAACTTTTATTTTTTTTGTTTTGTTTAAGGTATTTGTTTCTTGTGCTAGAGCTAGAGGGGCATCCGTTAGTCAGCAGGACCAGCTCCAGTGCTGCTGTATCAACTGCAGCAGCAGCACCGCCAGCAGCAGGCAGGTTGTTGCGGTGACAGATTCTCGGCCTTCCTGTCGGAGAGGACCGCAGAAAAAGAAGAAGGTGGATGCGAGGCCCGGAGTGTATGTGCAGCTCAGAGGATGCTGCCGAGCAGAGGAGCAGCAGCAGCAGCAGCGGCAGCAACAGCAGCAGCTGCTGCTGCAAGTGAGAGAGGGGCTCCCGGGTACTGCATGGCAGCAATATGCTCTACTCGGAGGCTCTGGCAGCGGGGTGATTCTCCTCCAGCAGCGAAAACGGCAGCTTCAGCAGCAACGGGAGACTTCATCCGCACCACCAGAAACGCCAGCAGCGCCAGCAACGCCGGAGGTGTGGTTCGCCGTTGGTGCCGCTGTAGAAGCAGCAACAGCAGCAGAAGTTGCGGCTCTCACCGTTGGTTTTCCGTGCTGCGCGACCCCCAGCCGCTGCAGCGCGTCCTTGCAGAACTTGCTGCGGCTGAGGCAGTTGAGCAGGACAGCAACAAAAGCAGCAGCGAAAACCTGCAGGACCTTGAGGAGGGTCACGATGAGTTTTACCGCTCTTCTTTCCATGAAGAAGATGAAAGCTGCCCCAACAACTATGCAAACATCAGCAGCAACCGCAGCAGCAGCATTAGCAGCGGCAACAACAACAGCAGGAGCAGACCTGGGGCGAATAGTAACCTCGAGAGGGAGGAGAGCGACGGAGATCCTCCTATACAAGTGCATGCAGAAATTGTGCTGTCTAGGGAGCAGCAGGAGATGCTTGCTGCAGAAGAGGCAACGGCTGCCGCTGCCTCAGCTGCAGACAGACAGCAGCGCTTCTTGCATTCTGTTACTGCTGCTGAAACGACAGAAGGCGGACTGCGTACAGCTCTGCAGCAGTCGTTCGAAGCTTTGCTGCCTCCCCACGTGGCTGCAGCAGCAGATGAGGCGGATGGGTTTGTATGGAGCGAAGCAGATGATGCTTCTCTCACTCCTGCGCAGCGGTTTTATAGAGACAACAGGGAATTGCTGCTGCAGCGAGCAGAGCAGTACCTGCGAGGCAAACAAGCAGCAGCTGCAGCAGCAGCAGCAGGTGGCGATGCTGCTGCTGCGGAGGAGGAGGAGTGGGATGATGCTGCGAAGACAGTTGAAGAAGACTGGAAGGCCTATTTCAACCCAGTGTACAAACAGCCCAAGGGATTCAGATGGCCAGTAGCAGATGCACCAGAATCTGCTGCTGCTTCTACACCCCCTGTGTACGCCACGCTGCAGCAATAGATCATGCAAGCCCACCTACTTTTGTGTGGCCAGAAGCAGCAGGAACATCACAGCATGCATGAACAGCACCAGTCTCAGCAGCAGCAACAGCAGCAACAGTAGTGTGTACATGACCACGGGCAGCTTCCGCACCAGCAGCAACAGTCAGCAGCAGCAACAGCAGCAGCAACAGCAGCAGCAACAGCAGTTTGAGCGGCTACAGTATGGCGAAGGGTTGCGTGTCTGTGTGCGTCTCAGGGATATGGAGTTCCGAAAGGGCCAATATCCGTCTTTGGAAGAATTCATGTCTCTCCTTGCTCAGGTCCAGCAGCAGCAGCAGCAGCAACAGCAGCAGCAGCAGCAAGAGCACCAGCTACAGTAGTGATAGCCACAACTGCAGTTTGAGCAGCAGCCTCCTTGCAGCTTTGCTGCCCATAATTGCTGCTGCCGTGGCTATCGAACCCTTGTAGTGATAGCGCCAGACTTAATTTTCTCCCGCTGTTGCTGCTGCTGCTGCTGCTGTTACTACTGCTGCTGCGGGCGCTGCTGCTGTTGATGCAGGAAGGTGTCAAGGATGTGGTCTGTTTGAACCTCGAGGCCCTCAGTAGAAGAGACCTGGGGCTTGTCGCCCTCGTTGGCACGTGCGGAACTGCTGCTCACTGCAGGTTTGCTACTCTTGCTGATGCTTTTGTTGCTGCTCTTGTTGCTGCTGTTGCTGTTGGTACTGCTGTTGCTACTGCTGTTGCTGCTTATGCTGCTACTGCTGCTGCGGCTGCTGGTTGTTGCTACTACTGTCGGTCTTGCTGTTGCTTATTGCTATTGCTGTCGGTCTTCATGCTGCTGTTACTGCTGCTGTTGTTGCTCTTGAAGCTTGAGGAGACGCATACAGTCTACCTGTCTGTTGTTGCAGTGGACTCTCATGGTGTTGGCTTCAGCCTAAATAACTCACTTTACTTCTCTGGACCCGTTCGGCTCAATTCTGTGGTGCCGCTACTACTGCTCCTGCCGCTACTCATCCTGCTGCCCCTGCTGGTACTGCTGCCGTGTGTGTTGCTGCAGGAGAGTCTCACGGTTACTGCGTTCGTTGATTCAGTCACTGGAAATTCCCCTCGTCTCTGAAAGTTGCAGCAGTACGAGTGGCAGCACAAGGCGGAACAGGTCAAGGAACAGCACTAGCAGCAGCGAGTGGTTCGTTGCCTGCCTTGGACCGGTGTCTGTACACCTCATGACGGCCGCAGCGCGAGACTTCTATGAGTGCGATCTAGTTGCTGCTTTTGCTGCTGTTGCTCTCTCCTGCTCGGCCTGCGCCCTGCTCCCTGCTTTGGTTTGAACAGGTGCTGCTGTGGTTGCTGTGTTGTTGAAGTTAAGTCAAGAAGAGTGCCTTGCTTATCTGTCTGCTGTTTTGCAGCGTGGAGCGTGTGTGGAGCAGCAGAAGCAAGCAACTGCAGCAGCAGCAGCAGACCCAGACTGCCGATGAAGACCTGCTGCACCTGCCACCGACCGGCGAGCAAGAGGATCTGCTGCAGCAACAGCAGCAACTGGTGCTGAAGCAGCTGCAGCAGCTGGAGCAGAAACACAAAGAGCAGGCTCAGTGATGTACCCTGCAGCAGCAGGCAGCGCCTGCAACGGTTGTTTTGCGTATGCTGCCAGCAGCAGCATCAGAAGCAGCAACAGCAAACATCTTTGCACTTCGGAATTTAAAGATTTTTTTGTTTTTATTGCCTGGCAGCTCATCGCAGCCACGGGGGCGACTATTTTCTTCTGTCTGTTTTCTTGTTTGCAGTTGTTTGTTGTCTCTGCGGCTGCTGCCGTTGTTGCTGCTGTCTGCTGCTGCTGGTTGTTCTTGCTGAGGGATGCTGTGCGCATGGTTGTTGTGGGCTGTTTGCTGCGGCTGTTAGCTATTGATATTTGGTCTAATTTTCGTTGTTGCTGCTGCTTTTTGCTGCTGCGTTGTGCTATTTCTGCTTGTTGCTGCTGGTGTACGCTACTGCTGTTTGTTGCTACTACTGTCCGCTGGTGCTGTTTGTTTCTGCTGCTGTCGTTTGTTTTCTTAGGGTTAGGCGTTTCTGTTGTATGCTCTCGTTTGTTGCCTTGTTGCTGCTTGCGGTTACGATTTGCCTGTGTGTCTCATGCAACATTCTCAGGCTGTTGGAACATCTTGTCTCTATTAGTAGTGGGGTTTTGCTGCTTCTGGGTGGGGCTATCTGCCGCTGTTGCTGTCTGCGGCCGCTGCCTGCTGATGCTGAGAGGTGCTGTGTTGTTTGCTGCTGACAATTTTACTACTTGCTGACTCTCTGCAGCAGCAGCAATACCAGCAACAGCAGGAAAAACAGTAGCCAAATCAGCAGAAGGAGGCGCAACAGCTCCAGTAGCAGGATGACCAGCAGCAGTAGCAGCAGTAGCAGCAGCGGTCGCGGATGCGTATGTGAGCCATTAGTTTTTCTATTCCTTCTGTCATTTGCTGCGTAGTGTACACGCCTGTCTGTACACCGCAGCTCCCTGCTGACTTAAAGCAGCATATGAGGTGTATAGGCAGCTCAACCCAAGGCCAAAAGCAGCAACGGCAGCAGTAGAAATCGGGTTAATAGAACAATGCATATTATTGTTCGTATTACAAGTAACCTAGGGACATCGCGTTTATTTATTATAATTGTAATAATTAATAATGATAAACCAGCTGACAATTCTGCTGGCTATAAGAATAGCAACAAGGACAAATTAAATGGGTAATTTGCTTGCGGGCGCGGAGCCCTAACGGTTTTATACAGAAAGCGCATACTAAGCCTACATATTCTAAAAATAGAGATGAATACTCGGTCTCCTCTATATTTATCATCAGGAATAACAATAATACGTCACATTTTTAGTGATTGTTTATAATAAAAATCTATAACAAGAAATCAGCGGGCCAGTTAGGGGCGTCTAGCTCAAATGGTAGAGCGCTCGCTTAGCATGCGAGAGGTAGAGGGATCGATACCCTCGTCGNTAGCTCAAATGGTAGAGCGCTCGCTTAGCATGCGAGAGGTAGAGGGATCGATACCCTCGTCGTCCACTTTATTGTTATTCTTGTGAGTATAATTACGTACTCCATTAAAACATATATCAATTATTTCTATTTATTTAGTGTTGATTTGAATCTAGTAAGACATTTTTGTTTCTTAATTTGTTTATTCAGCTAGCAAAATGCTAGTTGGTTTTGTTTGCTTGGTTATTCGTTAACCACTGACAAAATATTATGTATCTTTATGTAGCTGTTTAATTATTCATGTATTTCATTCTAACTAGATATTAATTTTTTCTTATCTCTACTTGCCTGTTTGCGTCTTAAACCCAAATAAAATGTTGAATTCTCTTTTATCTAGTTATGCAAGAGATGCATTTATTTTTTTATATTTTTGTTTGGAATTGATTCGATAATGCAAGGAAATACATGGGTGGTATGGATCGGAGCTGTTTATCAAATTGAATAATATACAGGGAGAAAACAAGAAAACAAAAAACACAGGATACAGATGCAGAAGGATAGACAGAGAGAAAAGAAGCACGGACAGAAAGACAGGCAACAAAGGAAAAAGATGACGAGACCAAACCGGGAAACAAAAATAAGAAACAGACAAAGAAAGAAGAGTATAGGAAGTGAAGAAAAGCACACAGGCTGTTCTAGACACCATCTGTTGCCTTCACTGGAGAGAAGCAGCTGCTGCTGCTGCCGTGGGTATTGCTGTTGGTGTTGCAACAGCAGCAGCAACCTCCAGTTTTCTGTCTGTATTTCGCTTTGGATAATGCTGCTTCTCTTTGCCTGGCAGAGAAAAGAGATCCATGGGGGTGCACGAACCTGAATATCTTCGAAGCAACAGAGTGCTGCTGCAGTTGCAGCACCAACGGCAGCTGCTGCTGTCGTTGTTGCCGCAGCAACTGCTGCGGTGTTACCGCAGAAGCTGGTGCGGTGTTGCCGCAGCAACTGCTGCCGCTGGTGTTGTTATTGCAGAAACAACTGGTACACCTGATGTTGTCGCTGCAGCAGCAACTGCTGCCGCTGCTGTTGTTGTTGCACCAGCAACTGATGCTGGTACAGCTGCTGTTGCTGGCGCTCTACCTCCAGCTGCCAATGGTGCTGTCATTGATTGCCGCAGCAAAGGACAAAACCTATGAAGACTCATGTTCCTCTTGCTGCTGCTGCTGTTGCTGCGGTATATCTCTGCGTGTGGTGTATCGGCGAGGGAACGTCATAAGGAATCCCCCTGGGGCCCTCAGCGTCTCTCGTTCCCCTTGGCGTCTGGGGACCTCTCTCGGCTGCGCTGCAGCCTCAGCTGCATCACCGTTACCAACATCATCAGCGACAGCAGCAGCAGCTGCTGCTGCTGCTGCTTTGTATACTTCATCTGGGGAGCGCAGCAGCGGCGTCAGCACGGGGTCTTCGTAGCAGAGGGTTAATTGCGTTATACAGGCAGTTAGGGCAGCTTCACACTTAAGAACTTTGTCTGTCAGACGAAATGGCAGACACCGCAGCTGCTGCTGCAGCAGCTGCATCTCGGAAGGTACCCAGCCGCCCTCAGGACCAACAGCTAGCAACACGCCAGTCCGTTGCTGTTGCTTTTGCTGCTGCTGCTGAGTCGCCGCCTCTGCAGCAGGCCGCAGCTGCACGGAACAAACGAAAAGCAGACAGAAGCATGTAACAAATATGCCACAGGAAGCGCGCAAGCACCAGCAGCAGAAGCAGCAGCGGCAGCAGCAGAAGCAGCAGCATAAGCAGCAGAATACGCAGCAGCATGAGCAACAGCAGCAGCAAACTGACAAGAAGTTGGGGAAGGGTGGCCTGCGTGTGGGGATGGGCGACTAGGCGCAGCGGAGGCAGCAAATAATGGGAGAAGGGATCCGCTCCCTCACTGCCTCTTGCTGCTGCATCTTTTGTCTCAGACTCTGCTGTTTCTGTTTCTGCCCCTGCTGCTGCCGTTCCTGCTGCTGCTGCTGCTGTTGCTGCTGCTCCTGCTGCCCCTTCTGCTGCTGCTTTTGCTGCAGCAGCATTCGTGGCTGCCATAAAACCTTCCCAAGAAGCAAACGCATGCAGCTCAGGGGGGGTCGTCACCATTCCCTGCTCCAGGCCTAAGACACAACAGAAACAAAGTCATTAACAGAACGTCAGCAGTAGCAACTCATGCTGCTGCTGCTGGCTGCTGCACTGCGACTCCTCTGGCTGCTGCTGTTGCCCGTGCTGTGGCTGCTGCTGCTTCTGCTGCCTTCGTACGGAACAGCAGAAACACACCGTCTGATCTAAATGATCTGCACGAAAGGTAGCAGCAGCAGCAGCAGCAACAGCACCCGCAGCAACAGCAGCATCAGCAGCGGCAGCAGCATCAGCAAATTACCTAGGACAAGCTGCTCGAGGAGGTTTTCAGCAGCCAGGCGAGAAGAAGAGAAAAACCCCTTCTCCGTCCTCTCAGCGCAAACCAAAAATATCCGCCGGACACCCACAACAGCGCAGAGCTGCAACAGACTAAAACACCACAGACCCCGCCAATAACAACAACCCCACCAACCCTAGAAACAACACCACTAATTACAATAACCCCATCAACAACAGCCCCATCCATAACAACCCTTCCAACTGCAACTCCACAACCACCACCCTCAACACCGGCAGCAGAAACTGCAGCAGCAACTATGCTAGCCTTGGAGTTGTCCTCTATACCGTGCAACCAACACATACACCTAAACCCTAAACCCTAAACCCTAGTCCCCCACAAAAGCAAACGCGTCCGCACCCTCACGGACAACCAGGGGAGCGGCAGGAATGCAGAGGCATTGTTGTACAATAGTAGATGCATCTACGTGTATTTCTTTGCCTTAGGATTGTTTAGAAAGGCAAAGACTCATCTGTTTGTTTCCACGAGAAGCAACAAACCATCCAGGCTGGTACACCAGTGCAAAAGCGTTGCTGTTGCCGTTGCTGTTGCTGTTGTAGCACCAGCAATAGCAGCAGCAGCAGCAAGGGCAACAGCAAAGAGCGGCAGCAGCAGCAGGAGCAGCAACAGCAACTGCATTAGCTGTAGCAGCTGGGGGTTGTACCTGCAGTATGCGTTCGAGCACCTTAGGGCGGGTCATCGCGAGGAGAATATCCAACTCAACGCCGCAAGAAGGAACCTCTGCAGCCATCCTGAAGCAGCAACATGCATGCATGCATGCATGCATTCAAGTTGCTGCTGCATGTATGCCGATACTGGATGCATGCAGGAACCGTATGGTGCAGAGGCAACGTGCATGCAGACACCACATGCATGCAGGCACCGCACGCAAGTATGTTATGTTGTTGCTGTGAAGAGTGTTTAGATGGTGGATTTGTTTTATTTCTGCATGCAGTGGAGCTGCGTTTACAAAGTGGAAACCTGATACTCCCTTTTCCTTTTGCAGTGTATCTCCAGCGTATATTCAAAAAAAAAGAAGAGGGGCAGCAGAGAACACACAGAACAGGCAACCAAACAAACAAACAAAAAAAGTTAACCTGGATAGGCTGCATACATCTCTGAGCAGCTTAGACGAAGGATACACAAATCAAAGACATAAAAATCTAAAGTACGGAAAAAAAGAATACAACAGACAGAAATCAGCAGAAGACAAAACACAGAAATAAAGAGACAAAGGATAGATAAAAGAGAAAGCAAAAGGACGCAGGGTTTAGGGTTTAGGGTTTAGGGTTTAGGGTTACAGGTCGATTCGCTGCAGCAGTTTTATTTTTGTCTTCTCCTGATCAAAGGAGATGACCTCAGCTTCACCTACTCCTCCATTGGCTACACCAACACGAACACGAGCACCAACCTGAAACCAAAAAAAAACAGAAACAGAAACAGAAAAAGAAAAAGAAGATGAAGAATTACAGCAGGGGTGGAGAGGAGAAGAAGGAGAAGCAGAAGAAAAAGAAGATGGTGATGATAACGAAAGTTCAATTGAACTATTTAATTAGTTTGTTTAACCACATAAAATATTCGGTTAACTTCATGGATTGATATATTAAATGAATAAATTTAATTATTTCTTTTAATTATATAGCTTAACGATATAAATTAAATTAAATTAAATTAAATTAAATTAAATTGAATTAAATTAAATTAAATTAAATTAAACAAATTGCAGCACCTTAACTTTTAGTACTTGTTGACAATGGCGGTGTTTGCGGCCAGTGAGGGCAGCGACTGCCTCTCCATTTACTATTGCAATATCCTCCTTCAGCAGCAAAATGAGATTCATTTTAGGGGGATATAGCTACTATAGAGGAAGAAATAACATGTAAAAGAGAAGAAAAAAGGAAGAAAAAAAGAATAAGTGATCAAAGAAGTTAAATCAAAAAGGAATGCTGCAAATTGCAGAAAAAAAAAGAGAAGTTGAGTAAGTAGCACAGAAAAAAAAGAAGAGGAAGAGGAGAAAAAAAACAAACTGTATCGGGATTGTGGTTCTTTAATGTCTTTACTCTACTGGTGAATGATTTCCTCTTAGCATTCTAAAAAGAATTAAAACAAATAAAATTCAACAATAAAAGAGGAAACAAAAAAAAAACTAAGAATAAAGGCAAGGTATACAGAAAAAAGAAGAGCAGCAACAGCCGCTGTTGCAGCTTAGGTGTATGTCATCGCCATCTTATTAAACGAAAAAATAAAAATTAAAACGTCAAAGAGAAGTAATTAAAATTTTTTTAAATCAATTTATTAAACAAATCATTTCTTTATTTTCGGGTAAAGCCGCAACACTCAAACTGAGATCGCCGTGGAGAAGCGGCAGTTTTTCCGGGATATTGAGCGGGAAAACATCAAAATAAATCGTGAAAACTAAATCAAAATACAAAATAATTTATAACTTTTGTAATTAGAAAGTTTACACATTCGGTTCGATCTTATCTTCCGCCGGGGGGCCCCAGCCCCGATCCTTCTTTCACCGCATGTACTACAGGGGCCCCCAACCCCTCTATTCTTTCCCGTCGTGCTTTGTTTTCTTTTGGGTTTAATCAGAAGTTAAAATTGTTATTTAAACATATATGAGCAGCAATGAGACGGATGTGCAGTAGACCGAGAGTATGCATACGTGCATACATACATATATAACATACACTCATCCACAACATGCATACAAACATACATACAGCCATACATACATATATACACACATACATACCTACACACACACACACATACACACACAAACACACACACGCACACATGCACATTGTGTGTGTGTGTGTGTGGGTGGGGGCGGGGGTCGGTGTGTGCGTGTGGGGCCGGAGGTTGCCTGTGTTCCTATACATGCAATAGTTTGCGAGGAGTAATGACGATGAAAGTAATGGTGATAAAGTAACGGCAACTATTATCATCATGATGTTCACCAAGTATAATGTTCGACGACAAGGTTCGTCTCGTTTTAGCTTGTTGCTTGTCGAGACTGTTCTGTTCCTGCGTTCCTTCTGCGTTGCTGCTGTGTTGCTGGTGCGTGGCTTCTCCGTTGCTGTTGTGTTGCTGCAGCGTTGCTGTTGCTGCTTTGTTGCTGCTGTGTCGTTGCTGTTGTTGCTGAGCTGGTGGATGTCTAGAGGTGCCTGAGAGCAGCCATGTGCTTCAAGAGTAAATGCTGGTGCTGCTCCTGTTGCAGCAGCAGTACCACCACCACCACCACCAAGATCAGCAGACTATGACATGTTGAGGCCTCTCTTTCTAAGCATTGGTGCTACAACAGCAGCAGCAGCGGCTGCTGCTGCCCTAGTGTGTCCCTATGTGCTGCTGCTACTGTGCTGCATGCGCCTCGGCTTTGTCTGCGAAAAAGTTTGGGTGTACGTGCAGACAGCACAAATACCAGTTATTGCCTTTGACTCTAACGGGGCGATAGGGAGCCCCTAAACCAACACGGTTTCAGTTTCTGCTCGCATATAAGACCCAGTGGTGCTGCTAAAGCAGCAACAGCAGCAGCACCAGTAGCGGTTGCTGCTGCTGCTGCAGGAACCTGCTAGGGCAGCAGCTGCTGCTGCTGCTGCTGCAGCAACAACAACGCCGGGGAAGAAGGGGTTGAACTTCTCTCCAAGGCGGCGCTGCTGCTGCTACTGCTTTAGAGTAGCACTGGATTACGTACCTGTCATGGTCTGCTGGCCTTGGTGGTGTTGCCGCTGCTGCTGCACCAGCAGCAGCAGCAGCTGCTGTTGAAGCAGGTGGTTGCTCTCAGGCACCCCCAGACATGCATCACAACAGCAACAAGCGGGAGTTACATTGATTATCCAGGGCCCCACAGCTGCATATAAGGCCGAAGCTGCCTGTCTTTTGATTGCAGCAGGTGGTGTTTTGCTGCTACAGTTCCGCAGCACCTATTCACTTACACTGCTGCACCTGCTACTGCACCTGCTGCTCCACCTGCTGCTGCGCCTGCTGCTGGTCACGCTCCGTGCTGCTGCCGCTCTGCCGCCCGTCTGGGTTGCCGGTGGAGGCTTGATCGCTGCAGCAAGGGTGCTCCTGCTGCTTCTGCAACGGGAGCTGCTGCTGCTGCAGGTTGAGTCGGACAACGCTGTCTTTGTTCCCTGCGTCATTATTGGCAGCAGCAGCTGCTGCTGAGGATTCGTTGGCGATTTGTTCTGCTGCAGCAGCAGCAGCTGCTGCTGCTGCTGCATACCTGATGCTGCGTTTTAGTTGCAACGCTGTGACAGAGACAGAAGGAGGAGGGTCTACATAGAGACACCGTTTGCGTGAGATAGAAAAGAGGAGAAGATGCATAAGGAAGCAGCAGAAGAGAATACAGAACAGCACAGTGACTGCTTGCAGCGGCTCAGACAGATAAAATATTCTATACACGTACCCCACCCCTCCTTGCCCATTGGATATTTGAAAGATATATACACAGAGCTGCAGCGTCAAATAACAAATAAACAATATTATTGTAAACCCCATATGCCGCATAGGACAGGGGATACGAGAGAGAAGAGATGCATGCAACAGTGTCAGCAACACCAACGCTGCATGCTTCCACACAGTAATCCACGACCCAAGGAAGTCAACGTTTTCTGCTTTAAATAAAGAAAAGAAAACTGCAGCAACGCCGAGAGAAGAAACCAGCTGCAGGTTATGCACTATCCACGTGACCTGCACAAACCAAGGCATCGTAACCACTGCTGCTGCAGCTCCTCTACCTCCTGCTGCTGCTGCTCTTGTTGTTCTTGTTGCTGCTGGCTGGCTGACTCTCCCTGCGTCTGCATCCGTTGCAACAGCTGCATCTGCTGTATCTGCTGCATGCGCTACTGCTCCTGGGGCCGATTCTACTGATCTGCTGAGAGCCCGTTCCGCCGCGCTTCTGCTGCCGGTGCTGCAGGTAGGTCCTGAAGACCACACGGTGGGGGTTTGCGAGGGCAGCGCTATGCGCGGGGAGCAGCAACTGCTGCTACTGCTGTTGCTGTTGCTGTTGCTGCTGCTGTTACAGCTGCTGCTGCTGCTCCGGGTGCGTCTCTTGCGAAGCAACTGCATGCGGGGGACCCGTTCGGCTTCTTCTGTGGGCACGCAAACCTGAGATTTGTTGCTGGGGTTGGGGGCGAAGAGGATGCCTTCCACGCAGCAGCGGCTATCTGCCATGAGGTCTCGGTATCCATGCAGAGCGAGACAAAGGGTGCGGGAATCCCTTGGTTGTTGTTTCTGCTGCAGGCGGTACTGCCGCTGCTGCACCAGCCATGGGAGAAGCGCTGCTTTGTTGCTGCTGTAAGTAGGCCGAGGATGCCGTCCATCCACTGCAACAAACTCTGCTGCAGAAAAGCCTAAACTGGTGCTGCTGTTCTCACGAGAGGCGATTGGGGGAGGACTCGTTTGCATGCAATTTACAGAGCAAGTACAAGACTCATCCTCAACTGCATTCATCAACAACTGCTGCTGCTGCTGCTGCTGCTGGTGCTGCTGCTCATGGTGCTGCTGGTGCTGGTGGGGTTGCTGGTGGTGGTGGTCTTGTTGCAGTTGATGCCGCCTCTGTAGCTGGTGCTGCTGGGTGTCTGCAGGGTTGCTGTGGTGCGTTTGTATGGGTGCAGCGAAGCTGATACATGCAATGACGGACGTGATGGTGAGGGATAGGAAGCCAGCAGCAACGAGAAGGCTATTCCAGTTAGTGAAGTAAAGCATTTGTGCCTTTCCTACTTCTCTAACTCCTTGAATAGATGCAATGCACTCAAGCAGCAGCACGGAGAAGCAGCAACAGATTCGCAGCAGCGTAAGAAGGGCAGGATCAATGATGTTGGGGAAATATGAACAGACAAGTATCTGTCTCCAATCTCGTTGATGAATATCCCATCGCCAGAAATGCTTCAGTTGCTTCAACTCATACCACAGATGCTCCCCATAAGGGGGAACACGAACAGCAACAGGAATATGTTCTAAGTCCGGCAGATCAATCCCCACAACTCCTTTTGCTGCTGTCTCTCTCGAGGGGCCATCATGGCTCTGGAGGGGGTCTCCAGAAACGGAGGAAGTCTCAGAAGCGATTCCTTCCGCTGCTGCTGCTGCTGCTGATCCGCCCCCTGCTGTTGCTGCTGCTAAAGATACCTCTGCTGCTGCTGCGCGGGCAACAGCGCCAACCACCGCCTCCGTCGCCGCGCTGTCCGCTGCGTAGGCAGCTGAATTCTCAAGGCGAATGGTACAAAAAGAAGATGGTGGGGGCCCGGACACGCGCTGCGGGGAATTGAGAGTTACCTGCTGCTGCTGCTGCTGGTGCTGGTGTCGGTGTTGGCGTTGGTGTTCGTCATGGGCGGGGCTGTGCTCGAGGCAGGGCTGGTGCTGCTGGGCAGGTACGGAACTGATGTAGAGAGACCCGATTTTTGCAGTATCTGAGGGCTCGGCATCTGTTGCTGCTCCTGCTGCAGCATCTGCTGCTGCTGCTGCTGCTGCCTGCGCGTTCTTAGCGCGCACGTGGGCGCAGAGGCCCATTCTTACTACGTAACAGCTCTCGCTGTTGCCATTATCCTCGCTTGCGCTGAGTTGATTGCTGCTTACCGATACAGAATTTGGCGATCCGCATGCTCCTGCTGCTGCTGCTCCTGCTGGGGGCTGCGAGGAAGACGGAGACGCTGGACGCTGTGGAGGTGGGACGGCTGTGCCGTTTGTTGCGACAGCAGAATCCATCTTCCTTGGTGCTGTTCAAGAGATGTGTTTTCTGCAGTGATTGTTTGCGAGAGTCAAAGAAAACAAACAAAAGGCGTTTGCTTATTTATAGTACCTGTTTGGCGATTTGAAAATAATGTTGCATTTTTCAGCACGAAATAAAAAAGAAACACTGCAGTTGCAGGGATGTGTCCGAACAAACGCAAGATAAAAACCGAGAATAAAAGAAAATGTGATGAATCGTCACCAATTCATGTATTCATGAATTCATGGATTCGGTGCCTTCTTCCTGGCGGTGACCCGGTAACCACCATTACTTCAGGAGCTGCAGACGATTAAACAGACAATTCAGCGAGCAATATAACATGAAACCGATTTATACTTATAAAACAGAAGATATTTCTGTTTATATGACAACAAACAACGGAAACTTAGAGCTGGAAATGTGGTAGTCCGCTGCCCAGGCTGGTCATGACCGCTGCGCCGGCAGCGGACCACCACGCACCACCACGTCTTTGGCGTCAGGGTCTGCGATAGCTGAAATAACCATGGATTCGTTGACTTTAAAACTAATTAATTAGTTAATTATTTTTGTTTTCCCCTTGGACGCGCCGCTAGCGCCGTATGGTGCGCTGTGGGGGACAGGCTGTAGTGCGTGAGCACAACAATGTACTAGCTTCTAGCTCCGTTAGAGAGGTAGGCCCAACTATTAGTTAGATAGACAAATAATGAATTCCCTATCATATTTTTGCCAATATGTAGTAGCCTATTACTGGGGATTTCAGCACAGAACCGGCCAGCACTAATGCGCAATACCAGCCAGGAGGATGCACGAGTCACCTACCCGCAGTAGCGGGCTGGATCTGGGGACTGGCTCTGGCGAGTTGCTGGGGGGACCTTAGGAGGAAACGGATGCATATGGCTCCATATAACTGTTTCTCACCAAATTCAGGAGCGTTGGGAGTCTGTCCTTTCTAAGAGCAGACTCTCTGAAGGCTATCGATGTGATACATTCGTGTGCCACAACGCTTGTCAATCTACGACTCAATTCTAGGATTCAGTGCATCCATTGCTGCACACTACTGCCATTCGCATAGATTCTATAGCTGCTCGTGGCTCCTACTCATATCCCGGATCCAAATTCTCATGAGTGCGCCATCGGGCTCCAGAAATTTCAATGTTTCTGGTTTACCCTACTGAGCCGCCGCTACACACACAACGCCGGTACTGAGGCAGAATATTCATGCAAATGTTTATGTGAAAGGCGAATTAAGATGAGTCAAGATATTATATCTAATCAATTGCTACTTTTTCGTAAATGCATGCTGCTTACATTACGGGGCGATATGCCGATGGGACCATATAGAAATAAACAGACGTGACGACAGAAAGGAGTGATCATAGACAACAAGCGTTCCTTTACGAAGCGAGTTCTGCGGCTCCAGCCGCTTCACCGCCAATTATTTGTTCCTGCTTCTGGAGGCCCCCCAGGGCACACCCATCCGCCCATCCAAAGCAGTAGCGATCGAACTTCGGCCACCGTGAATAGGGGCTACTTGCTGTTGCTGCAGCTGCTGCTGCAGCAGCTGCAGTAACGGAAGCAGCAGCTCCAGTAGCTGCAGCAGCTGCATTAACGGAAGCAGCAGCTCCAGTAGCTGCAGCAGCTGCTGCAGCAGCTGGGTATAGTAGTAGTAATACGACTCTGCCCCATCTGCCTATCTGCTGTGGTGTGGTACGTGAGGAACTGCGACGTCCTCAGCTCGCCAACGCAATTGAGGCGGGCGGAAGCAGCAGAGTGGTTTCGTTGGAGAGCAAATACACCCGAAATGAACTGAGACGTCATCAGGTCATTCCCTACAACTAGGCACTGCTTCTCTCAGCCATACTTATATACATCATATATAGTAGACTCTGATATATATCATTAGTAAACGCATACGACTATTATTATATATATATTATTTCGTTGTATATATACAATTATAGTTACTATTCTGTTGTATATGCATACGAATAATGATCATTCTACATAATATACATAATATTATTTCACCATATATATATATATATATATATATATATATATATATATTCCGCTGGGCGGTAGAGTCGCGTTAAAGCATTCAAACCGTCTGTACAACAATCAATCCTGCTTGCCGCTCTTAATTGCGCCAGCAGCAGAAGCGCGCTGTTTAGCGAAGTGGCGGCGGCCTGAAGACAGAATACAAATGCAGAAAGTGCCCCCAAACCCTAAGCCCCACAACCCTAAAACCCTAAACCCGAGTCATCTTCACATGGAAGCAGCTGCTCTTGCACACACGCACATCACCAAAGAAACAAACCAATCGAGACGATGCATGTAATGACGTTTTCAAATGCCAATACTGATCTATTGACGCACCCAAGAACTTGAGGATCTCGTCGAGGATGATAATGGGGAAAGACCAGAGAAGGACATACAGCCAGTCCATCGAAGTGAGCTCGACAACGCCAAAGACACGACGCTGCAGCAAAAACAGCAGCAACAGCAGCAAATGTACGTTCAGGGCGAGCTCTCTTTGAGAGGGGTAGAAGCGATGAGGCTCTCACTGCCACTTGTGGCGCTGCTGCTGCCACTGCTGTTGACCTACAAGGAATGGGATATACAGAATGGCGCAGTGGACAAGGAGAGAAGAAGCTGTTGCCAAAAGCAAGTACGGATTCGCCTGAAGACAAAAAGAAACATCCCCAGCTCTCAAGACACTGCAAGGAAAATTACGGTACAACTACTATACACACACATACACCGACGCCACAACACTATACACACGTCTGCACCAAAGTTAGAAAATATAGTACACAAACAAAATTTGAAATATAAATATTATATACACACTTCAACTAGATATGTAGTGACTCTAAACCCCAAACACTATTCAGTCCCTGCAACAGTTGCCACCCTTCCAGCCCACTGCAGCAACGCCTGCACTGTGGCGTGGCAGAAGCGAGCCTGCTGCTACCCAGCTGCCTCGAACACAAGGGAGAGGCCTAGACCCTAAACCCTAACCGAGGTAAATAAACCCCACGCACAAAGGCCCCTCGGTTTCGGTTGTTGCGGCTACATTTCCTATACTTCTTACCCAGGGAGGCATGCGAAGGAGCGAGTGATTCTCAGAAAGGGCATTAAATGCATTAAACATTTCAATTACCACCAACACCGTCAAACTGAGGGTACTGGCCTGAAGAAAACAAAACCCGAAAACACAGAAAACAATAAACTTCAGTGTTGTGTATCTTAATTATGTATTCTATATTGTATATGTGTATTGTATATGCGTACTGCATATTGTATATTCTGGGGATGTGTGTTGCGCGTGTATACTTGTGTACCTGCAGTGTATACTGCATATCTGTATCGAGTTTTGTGGTTTTGTACTGACCTTAGCCTTGCCGATGGTGAAGTATGAGCAGGGATCGTTTTCTGGCATTCCATATACAGGCATGGGGTTGAAGTCTTTCCATGTGGAGCACCGGCCCCAGGTCATCAGCTGAGGTAGAGAGAGGAGAGTGTGAGGTTCTGCTGGATCCGTGCCGAATACAAACCACCAAACGAATATTCCAACTGTTGCAAAACCCACGTACACCCCAACCAACAAATACCGCAAAAATATCCAAGTGCTGATCAAACGATCGTCACGGTGACGAGGAGGTCGCTTCATCACGTCATCGTCCGCAGGGTTAAAACCTAAGAAAAAAGGAAAACAACGCAGTCTTCGTACCTCTCCGTAAAACTATATATATATATATATATATATATATATATATATATATATATAGAACATAATGCTTTAGAAAACAAGACGAACGACATTATACTGATTGAGTGCATATAAGAATCTCACCAAGAGCAGTAGCAGGTGGCCCGTCTGTTACGAGATTAACCCACAACAGCTGCACTGGAGTTAGGCCCTCAGGCACTCCAAGGGCTGCAGTCATGAAGATAGAAGCGACCTCGCCGATGTTGCTGCTGATCAAATACCGAATGAACGCCTGCAACAGAAAAAGCATCAAGCAGCTCAGGAGTACACCCTTCTGAACACAATATATGAAAATACATGAAATACATAAAATGCGGTGTATACACAAACCTCCATGCCGCTATTAACCCAGCTAAATCGAAATACATGGAACGTGTATGAAGAGCCGTATACACTGATCTTGCTGTTACTATACACCGAGCTAAGGACGCGTAAACACATCAACCAGTGTAGAATGAGGTGTATATACTGACCTTCATGTTGTTATAGATAGATCTTCCCTCTTCTACCGCGGATACAATGGTGCTGAAGTTGTCGTCTGCGAGTACCATATCAGATGCTTCTTTTGCAACTTCAGTGCCTGCAATGCCCATGGCAACCCCAATGTCTGCCTGCTTCAAAGCTGGGGCGTCGTTAACACCATCGCCTGTCATCGCCGTTGTCTCTCCCAACTCCTTCAGCAACTTCACTATCAGCTGCTTGTGCTTGGGCTCCGTGCGAGAGAAGATTGCGCCGCCAGCTGACGCAAACAAGAAAAAGCACAACAGAAGAATAAATACCATTAAATCAAGTGCTATTCAAACGAAATACAAAGAAACAACATATATAATAAACCCAACGGCTACTAAGACAACAACACAACAGAGAAGTATAACAAACAGTGAACTCGTCAGCTACTGATTCGTCCCCAACACAAGAAAACCAGAAACCAAAAACATTTCCCCCCCAGCTATTCTTCTCATCTATAAACCCGCATGCATGCTGCAACCCCAGCAGCAAACATCTTCTACGACTTACGCGAAGAGAAAGCCCTCAACCCAACAGAGGTCTACAGGAGAAGAGGACTTTCATTCTAGCTACAGTAAGAGCGAGAGAAAAACATGAAAACGAGTAAGAACAAAACAAACAATTTATAAGACCTACGGGAGGAAAGGACCTTCATTTTATCTGCTGATGATAAAGCTTCGAATTCTTTTCCTGTATATGAAGGGAAGCTCTCATCAAAGCCCGCGCGGATATGCACCAAGTCGGCCACCGCCTCCGCAGTGTCTTTGTTGTCTCCCGTTATCATCACAACGCGAATACCAGCATCTGAAGAAACAAAACAAACACAAAATCAATCACCACCATGAAAAAAAGAAAAAGAAACAAAAACAGCTACACCAGATCACCTCCCCCCCCCCCCCNCCCCCCCCCCCCCCCCTCTACAATCATCCGTTTCCTCTCTGTGCAGAACATGCTCCGTGCTGTCATCTGGGGCTCGTAACCATCCGCATGCAAGAATCCTGTCTCTTGCATGCATGCAACTGTGTGTAAATGCTCATGCACAGCCCCAACCCCATCACCTCCTCCTCACCTCTGCACTGCAGAATGGCGCTGCCGACTTCCGGACGAGGCGGATCGAAGAGGCCCACAACCCCAATGAAGCAGAGGCTGCTTTCAATGACAGCATATCCTGCTTGGTCGTCAAGAAGGCCCCTGTGGGCCCCCTGAGCTCCCTCCTCTCCCGTGTAGTCTGCTAGGGGACCCGCATCCAGGCGAACCGCCAACGCCAGAGTACGGAGGGCCCCCTTAGCCATCCCACCCACATCTGAGATAATAACTTTGCGTGCTGCGTCTGTCAAAGGCACCACGTTGCCGTTCGGAAGCATCATCGTCTCACACCTGAAACAATAACAAATTGCAAAATCATAGTGCAAAACAGATGATCGATCAACACCACCAGCAGCACCACCAGCAGCTCCTGCTGCGGCGGTGACGGATGCACAAGAAGATATTCAACAAATACTGCAACAAGAGCACTACCCACTACCCATACACCATGCAGTTGCAGGCACTTCGGTAGATATCTGCTTCGTGGCGGCTGCTGCTGCTGGTCACCTTGTAAGGAGGGTCTCGGGTGCTCCTTTGACGAAGAGTTCGTTCTTGTTTGTTTTGTTGTTGCGAGAGAGGACACTCATGCTCTTTCTGTCTCTGCTGAACTCTAAAGTGGCCAAGTCCTTGTATTCGCCTTTCCAGTAGTCGCTGCACAGACCCCGAAACAGAAACCGATCACACCACCAAAGATGAACGCCCGAAACACCTGAAAGCCCAACCCACTCTTCTTCCTCAAAGCAGTCTATCTCTTTTATGCGGTTTTCTGTATTTTTCCTTACCAGAAGGGTGTAGGGTTTCCTGTTGATCTGCTTGTATTCCCTCTTGCCTTGATTTGTTCATCAGAGAAGAGCCCCAGCTTCTCAACAAGCACTAGAAGAGCCGCTTCTGTTGGCTCCCCCATCCGCTCAAAGTGCCCCCCTTCTGCACCTCCCGCAGCAACATTTAGATGTGCTTCATTGCAGATAGAGGCGCAACGACACAGCCAGGACAACACCGCCTGGTGAGCTGAGAGAGACTGGGGGCCCCCCTTCTGGGCCACACCCCCCACCTCACGGCAGACGTTTCCGTTCGCGTTGAAGCCACTACCCTCAACTGTGAAGACATCCACCTAAATAACCCAACAACAGAGATGCATGAGCGAGACAATAACACAAAGAAAAATACAGAAAAAATATATAATAACACAAAACAATGACATAAAAGAAATATTAAAAAGAAGAAGGGAGAGGAAAATATATAGCTCAGGACCCCAGCCCCTCGTCTTGGTTTTCTGAATTAGCTCTGCTCTCCCTCATGTGAAGACCCTCTGCTTCGTCAGATGAACATGAGGAGGGTAGCAACACAAAAGGAAGCCAAATCACCATTTAAAAGAGACAGGCAAAACAACACCAGCAACAGTAACAACAAGACCACCACCACCACAACAAAGACTACCAGCTCGACCCTCAACAGAAACAACGGCAACGATAGCAGCAGCAACAAGCGGCACCAATAAACCGCAACAGCCGCCACAATCTCCACTACGACCAGCAGCAGTAACAGCAGCAGCCCGTTGCTCCTCACCTGTGTTGCATTCTGTGCGACGACGGCGAATCGAACGCAAGTCATTTCGTTGGTGGTGAGTGTTCCTGTTTTATCTGAGCATATAACGGTGGTGCATCCGAGTGTCTCTACACTCTGCAGCCTCCGTACAATAGCATTCTTCTTAGCCATCTTTCTCGTGCCCAGGGCTAAACAAGTGGTGATCACCGCAGGCAAACCCTCAGGGATCGCAGCCACAGCAAGAGCCACTGCTATCTTGAAGTAATAAATACAACCCCGCAGGGCGCTGCCGTGCACCGCATCGCTGAAATGCTGCGGAAAAACAAAACAAACAATAAACATAAAAAAGGATATCTTCAGGTCAACGCAAGAACAACGAAAAAACAACGAAAACCCCACGAGATACGCTCGCCTTGGCACCGAAACAGCAACAGCAACGTCACAGCAGCAGAAGCAGCAGCCGCAAACAAGCAGCAACAGCACAACAGCAGCAACAGTACAAGAGCAGCAACAGCAGCAGCAGCAGCAGAAGCAGCAGCCTCTGCATCCGGTGATGAGATGAATCTCACCCCGATATTAATGAGCCAGACGACAACACAAACGGCGCAGATGACTTTGCTGAGGGCTTCTCCGAATTCATCAAGTTTCTGTTGCAGTGGGCTCTGGCTGTCTTCTGCTTCTCCCGCTTCATGTACAGCTGCTTGTATAAGACCAATCTGCGTCGCCATACCCGTCCTCACTACCACTGCAAGAGCTCGGCCTCGAGCCACTGTTGTGCTGCTGAAGCAGAGACAACGCTGAGACTGAATCTCACAGTCGCGGAGAGATGCTGGCAACGCCTCGGCATCCTGCAGCAGCAACAGCAGCAACAGCAACAGCAGCAGCAGCAAATACAATCAAGGCAGCAGCCGCAGCAACGCCCGCTCATCTATCCTCTCAGGCCCGAAAAAACGCCTGAAGTAGTGGCGTGTCACCATATATATATATATATATATAAATGTACTTTATGTATGAACTACAATGTGCATACAGATTCAACAACGAATGCCCATACAGAGAAACAGCAACATATGTTCACATACATATGCATATATATATATATATATATATATATATATATATATATATATATATACTATATATATATATATACATATATATAACATAATTTCTAAAAATATATAGAAAGATATATAAAGATACAGGGTCCCATAAATGTATTACCTTGAGGACAGCGACGCTTTCTCCCGTGAGTTGGCTCTGTTCGACTCTGAAGGAAGCAGTTTTGAGCTGAACGACTCGGCAGTCTGCTGGGACTTTGTCTCCGCAGCGGAGATCAACGAGGTCACCAGGCACCAGAGAAGAAGAAGATACACAACGCCAAGAACCCGAACGGCATACACGGGCCTGCTGAGGCTGCAGCTGCTTCAACGCAACCAAAGCCTTCTCAGCATTCGACTCCTGCAGCAGCAGCAGCAGCAGCAGCAGCAGCAGCAACAGCATAAGGAAAGAACTCAGTTGGATGTCAATGCCAGCAACAAGAAACTCCAGCAAAAGCAGCAGCAGCAGCAACAGCCTCCATAGACTCCACAAGAGCAGCTGATGCAGCTGCTTCTGCAGGAACAGGACCCCAGGAGCAGCAGCAAGTGCAGCATATATAAATAAATAATATATAAGAAATAAAAACGAACCTGCCAGACCCCCACAGCAGCATTAAGGAAAAGAATGATGAGAATAACCAGCGGCTCCACGTACGCAGCTACTCCGCCCTCTCCCCCCTCCACCACCGCCAACACAAAACTAACAACGGCAGCAGCCAACAGAATCCTGAAATACAATTCAACAAGAAAAGAGAGGATGCAATCGAGGATACAAACAAAGGTTAAGGAAGTGTACACCGATGAAGAAAACAAACAAATACTGCAGCAGCAACAAGCAACAAGGACCATAAGGAGATACGCATCAGCCATTCCAACGCAAATAAGAAATATAGAGAGACGGAAAGAGGAGCAGGCAAAGAGAAAATCTGCTGCAAGACGACGTCAGATAAACCCTAGGGTTTAGGGTTTAGGGTTTAGGGTTTGTTACCTGACGAGTAAGTCCTGGAACTGCTCGATGATGAGCTGCAAGAGGCTCTTCCCCTCCTCGTGCTGCAGCTCATTCGGGCCGAAGCGAGCGAGGCGCTCGGCAACAGTTGCAGCAGGAAGACCCGTCTCTAGAGAAGTCCCATGGTAATCCAACACCTAGGCACAAACCAGCAGCAGCAGCAGCAGCAGCAGCAGCAGCAGCAGCAGCAGCAGCACAAAGCACGTGTGAGCAGGTCTTGTTGCTGCAGATAGAAATGATGCATATTCTGACGCTGCAGCTCGTGCTGTTCACGTTACTGCTGCTGCCATTGCTGCTGCTGCTGCCCATGCTGCTGCATCTCCTGCTGCTCACCTCTTCCACAGTGCAGGTGTGGGGCGCCTCCTGCAGCGCCTTGCAGCGGTCCTCCTTAGGAGTTGATTCGGCCATCGCTGAGACGAGCGGTGGGGAGGAGCTAGAAGGAAAGAAAGAAAGAGAAAGACAGGAAGAGAGGGAGACAGTATGAAAGGGGGAGGGGCGCAGCGCAGTCACCGGAGGAAGCGCCGGCAGCACCGCTGCCTCTTCTTGCCCTCCTTTTGTTCTATATCGCAAAGTAAGCTGGAAGACCCAAACAACGCACGCGCTGCAGCAGCAGCAGCAACGAGAGAAGCCGCAACAGCAGCAGCAGCGGCAGCAACTGCAGGAGCCGCAGCAGAACTGCACGAGGGAGGCTGCGATAAGCAGCAGGGCCCCAAATAGCACCGCAAGTGTTGCGGCTGCCTCTTACTTCTTTCTGATAAACAATTCCTTAAACGTATTAAAATGGGCAGCTCTCTTCACCGCTGGAGACGGTTGCTGCTGCAGCTCCTGCTGGCGCTGCTGCTGCTGCTGCTGCCAAGTCCTGAGGAAGCTGCGCAGCGGCGCTGCTGCTGCTTGTAGTGCCGGGCACTAGGGTGAGTCCGGGGATTTGGAAGATGTGTGAAATAATAAAATAAATAAATTAAACTGCAGGCGAGTTCAATTACCTAAGTATTCACCCGCTGGCTCAAGCATAAGACCAACAAGACACTGGGGCAGCAATATATACAATACGGGGCTGGATAAGCCCGTGTGCACTGTCTAGTGCTTGTTATGAGTCTACACACCTCACCCTGCCTCTTGATTTCTGCTTCAAACAGCTAATATATTTTACAAACTATAACACAGAAGTGTTCGGGTTCTTCGATGCAATTCGGCAGCAGTAACGCAATACCCCAGGGGCTAGACCCACCAGTGCAGTACTGAAGGAGATATTATGTAGCAGCTAGAAAATTAGCTAAGACATTCAACGCGATCCTTATTAACTAATTGAAGCAACGAGAAGCAGCAAAGCGGAGGTTCTTTGCTTCATGGCGCTCGGTGAGGCCCCGGCTTCTTGTATGGTGCCTGCGAAGGACACCTGCATTAGTAGCAGGGGTTGTCACGCTTCGGCTAATGCTTGTGTACATACATCCTACTGAAATCCAGAGGAGTTATCTCAAATTGTCTATCGTTTGTCGATGCAGATATGCACTAATATTAGTAGTGCATCTATCGAATGGTTTTCATCTGCGTGGAGTTGCAGTGCTAGAACTCCTGCGTCGAGACAAGTGCTGTATCAGAAACGGGGCAATCCAACTCAGAGAATCTCATCCCAACACCACCAGCGGGGGCTACACTTTCACTGCTCCCAGGACACGTGAGGGAACGAGGGCAGCTCAGCTGTTTCTTGGGGACCTACTAAGCGGAATGCGAATGCTCTCCTCGACGACCCTAGGTGGGGGCTAACTACTGTCGTTACAAAGACTTTGGTAACAGTTGCAGAACATGGCTACGCGGGATAGGGGCGGGCTGAGAACCTGAACCGCAGCTGAGCCTCGCATAGAGCACTGCTTACCCCTGAAAGCTCCTCCCCTAACAAAAGTAATCCTTAGGCACAATCCTCAAAAAACTTTTCAAAAATGTTCAGTTTTCTCCCCTCTCACATATTGGCGGCTCTAGCGACAACAGGTTATGCTAGCCGAGGTCGGTTATGACAAGCAGTGAAGTCAAAGTAATTAACACAGAATTCCGCAGTGCTTCAATCCCCGCCAGTCTGCACGCCTTCTAGATAAGCAACACAATTGCCTGAGTTTTGGTGCAGAACGGCGGCCTGACGACAGTCACAAGCTTCGTTCTTGTATTTCCTGTTCCAAGGCAAGCACACGTGCACGCATACCCGAACGCTCTGTGTTGAATAACAAAAGTGTGTATGTTGCCGCTAAACACTTGCGCCGCCCTCGGCGATCCCTCTCAGTAATGATGCTTTTCCGGATTCAGTGGAGCTTACAGTTATTATAAATGAATAATTGGGTTACTCCCACTCCTGTAACTCACGTCGGGCAGGGGGCAGCATATTTCCTAAACATACCCACAACAACTTAGATACTATCACGGCAACTGATGTATTTGAAACCCGATATGGAATTAACTGGAACTTCCGTCTGTATATCTGTATAGGCTCATGTGTTTGAGGGTTAGAGGGTTTCTAGTGAGGGATTAAGGAAACGCGATGGAATATTCCTCGGCTAGAGGACACAACCTAAGCCGCCCAAAGGAGTTAACCACCGGCTACTCTGTTTCGCTGACCCCGTCATCTCCATTTACTTTATGCCCGTACTTCTGTGGCACTGAAAAATATATTCAGCGCAAGCAATGCTTCGTCTAGCACCACGAGAGATCGTTGTGTATTTTTCAGCAGTGTTTCGCTGTTTTCTTGGCAAGAATTGCAGCCGCGGGAGCTTTGTTGCCTGGGTACAGGGACAGATGCCGGCTACTTTGTGAGGAAGCTCTTGCCTCAACTCTTTGGCTTCATTGAAACTCTCTTTAGTCCTTAGATGAGGCAGGAAAGCACGTGCTACACTGTTCTTGTATGTCGGTGGTATCTCAATCTCCTACTTATTTGTGGCACACATTACGTTATCAGCACACTACGATTGAAATCTCGATATATTTTAGGTATTTCAAGCTCCATAGTGCCAGTGAAACTACCCTTCCCTGAACTACTAGGGCTGAGTTGAACACACTCATTTAGCATTAAATGTAGAGACCTGAAGCAGTGAAAGCGTGAGTTTGTTCTCTGTCTATTTCGCTCTGGAGTGTTCCAGCCCCGCTGTGTCGTGGCCTACGCCAGGGAGTAGCATAAAGAGTGGGGCCGCAGGCAATCGATGATATTATTTAGGGTTCAAGTCTCCAGAACAGGGCACAGGGTTCGGGTCTCTAGAATAAAATTCAGGGCTTGAGTGTCTGGATAGGGTTTAGGGTTTGAGTTCTGGACGAGGCGTTAGGCCGATAGTTCAGTTGGATAGAATGCCCGGCTACGGACCGGGTGGTCGTGGGTTCGAATCCTGCTCGGCCTACTTTTTCTATTGTATTCTTATTTATTTTACATTCTCGGCCAAATTTATACAAATTTTAACTCCTTTTCACAGTTTATACAACGAGGTACTAAAGCACTGTCTGCGTTGCGTGGGAACCTAGGAGCCGCAGCGGCAGGGAATGATGGGCCATATTAAAAAAATTAAAAGAGTTATTTGGTGAAAATGTAGCTTTTGTAAAAATAAACACTCTTAGCTCTGTTAATATACTTTTTTCTGCCTTGCAACTGCACCTCGTGATTCCCCCCTCCCGCCCCCCCCAGTGGCAGGGAGCGTACAGTTGATGATATACAGTAAAGAAAAGAGTTAAAATATTTACATATTTAGCACAAAATGTAAAATAAATAAAAGTAGCACAGAAAAAGTAGGCCGAGCAGGATTCGAACCCACGACCACCCGGTCCGTAGCCGGGCATTCTATCCAACTGAACTATCGGCCTGAATGCACCGGGCAAAACCAAACCATAAGCCATAAACCCTAGACAATTAATAAAGTGAAATGCAAAGCTATATATATCTACCAGGAGTCAAACTTATTTGTTTTCATATAAATTATTTTTGCTTATTCACTGCTTGCTGCTCGTTGCTTACACGGCTGCCCGCTGCAGCAGGATACTGCCATGGGGGGCCCCCCAGAGGGGGCCCCGTGGGTAGTATGTAGACCCTATATACAGGAGCACATCATACTAGCTGTTAAATAAATATCTTATAAGCCATTTAATATGCTTATGCTTATACATTTTTTAGATTAACAATGTCTCAACTCTCCGTATTGGGGCCCCTGTGCTCGTGAGGGTAGGGGCCCTGTATCGAAGTATATTTCGTTCTTCTTGTCCTTCTCTCCCCAACCTGCTGCTGTAAACCATTGACTGTTTGAATACGGACGTTCATAGGGGCCCCTTCAGATGCGGCTCATTAGCGGGGGCCCCACAGGGGCCCTCCGCTGCATTCAGTTACTTGGGCCTCGTCTGTTGCACTGCACGGAACCGGCAGCAGCAGCAGCAGCAACAGCAGCAAAGACTCAGGCACCGTTGCTCTCCTCTTCTCCTTCTAGCTTACGGGGCTTTCCACTTGGTGAACGACTCGTGCTGCAGCAACGCCAGCAGCTGCAGCAACACAAGCAGCCGCAGCAACAGCAGCAACGGGCAGCAGCAGCGGCACTCCACACTGCTGCTGGAGCAAACCCCATTTCTTATGATTCGAGGGGCCCCCGGGGGGCCCCTCCCCTTGTGGACCTGCCGCATTACGTTCAGCAGTTGACACTGGGAAATTGGACCCTTTACTTCTATCCAATTCCTCAGTACCTCAAGTCCATTGAAGGGGCCCCCTGGGGGGCCCCCGTGGGGGCCCCCGGAAGGGCCCCTGCGGAGGCCCTGTCGGGGGCCCCCGGTGAGGGCCCCAGCGCGTGGAAGGGTGCTCTGCTTGTCGCATCGATGCAGCCGCAGCTGTTATGTGTGGAGTGCTGCAGCAGCAGGCTGCAGCGGTTAACAGCAGCAGCAGCAGATGCTGCAGCAGCAGCAGCAGAAGGGGGGTCGCTAGAGGAGGAAACAAGAAAGCAGCAAAGGAGGCTGGCCAAAGGCTTCTCGCTTCTTACATCCTTTGACGGCGGTATCGAACCCTAAACCCCAAACCCTAAACCCTAAACCCTAAACCCTAGACTAACACCACCAATGTCAAACCAAGGAACTGTGCATTGTCATCTCGGTTGCTTGCTGCTGTACACCCCAGACCCTACAACAGCTTCAAGGGGGGCCCCCGAATACCGCTGCAGCCAGCAAACTCTACAGCGGGGGCCCCTTATCTTTTTTTGTTTTTGTGTATAGGGTTCTCTATCATATTCTTTGTCTTTGTTTATATATCCTCCTCCTCTTTTTTGTTTTTATATTCAGGGTTGCTGCATGCCGCACTGCTTCCAATAGTAGTCGCTGCGATGGGTTTACCAGGCCGTTATTGGGGGCCCCTCGCAGCAGAGGTGGGGGCCCCCCCCCCCGCGGGGCCCCCCTCCTCCTCTGGGGGGCCCCCCCCTGTGGGGGCCCCTGCTCTGCGCGCGCTGTACCCTATTGACAGGGATAGAGTCTGTACTGCACGGAGACTGCACGAGTGTTTGCTGCTGCAAGCGACGCAGATGCGAGCTCTCAGGAGGTGCGTGCTGGATGCTTTATCACAGCGTTGGGCCTGGGGGCCCCCCCGCCCTGTGTGTGGGGGCCCCCGAGGGGGCCTCCAAGGACCCTCCTTTCCTCACCAAGGGGGGGACATCGTGGGCGGGGGGCCCCTGGGGGCCCCCCGTGAGTGGGGGGCCCCGCAGTGGGCGGAGCAGCAGAAAGAACTGTTCCCTTCTGGGTACCAAGTGCTGCTGGAGGAGAGGGCCTCCTGTGCAGCAGCAAACATATGGAATGCTATTCAAGAGACAGAAGAAAAACTAAGAGAGGGGGGGCCCCCAGGCGGCCCCTGGGCCGAGGGGGCCCCCCTGGTAGGGGCCCCCGTAGGAGGGGCCCCCAAAGAGAGAGACAGAGGGTACCGACTGCGAACACAGGAGGGGCCCCTCTTAGGCATTGTCTTCTGTTCAACGGCGTTGCTGCCGCTGGTGATGGAGTCGCTGCAGCAGGTGCATGCGCTAGAAGCCCCAAAGGCAGCAGCAGCAGCAGCAGCAGCAGCAGCTGCTGCTGCTGCTGCAACTGGGGAGCAGCGGCCGTGCTACCGCACGTCGCTATTTGCTACGCTGCACCGGTCACCTCCCTGTCTGTTGCCGCTGCTGCTGCTGCGTTTCTTGCTGCTGCCTGCTGCTGCTGCCTATGGTGTTGCTGCTGCTGTTGCAGCTGTCTCCTCTTGGGCTCGTGCTACCCTCCACCGGGGGGACCCCCCTGCAGCAATAGCAGGGGAGCTGCACGTGCCCATCAACGGGGCCCCCAAAGGGGGCCCCTTCAAGGGGGCCCCAGAGTGGGGGCCCCCCACAGAGAACAAAGTGTAGCATGCAGTTGCTGCCTGAAACTTCCTGCTGCTGCTGCAGCTTGTGCTGTTGCAGCTACTGCTGCTGCTGTTGCAGTTAGTGCAGCAGCAGCAACTGCTGCTGCAGCTGCTGCTGTTAGTGCAGCAGCACGCGCAGAGAGTATCGAGTGGCTGGCTGCAGCAGTTCTAAAGTTAGGGAGTGAGCAGCAGACGAAGCAGCAGCAGCAGAAGCAGCAGCAGCAACTGCTGCATGCATGCAGCAACAAGTTTTAGTTTTTATTTGTACATTTTTTTCCGGGTTTATCCTGCATTCTCTGATTCAAACAAACAAAACAACAAACCCCTCCACCTGCCCCTCACAACCGAACGCATGAGGACTAGGGGGCCCCCAAGGGGCCCCTCTTGGGGTCAGAGGGGGCCCCCCGTTTAGCGAATGCCAGCAGGGGCCCCTCGTCGCAATGCCAGCAGGGGCCCCCCCTCCTAGTACGAGCAGGGGGCCCCTGCTTGTGCTTCGTTTCTGCTGCGCAGTTTAGGGGGCCCCCCTTTGGGGGCCCCTTTAAGTACCTCAGGAGACATCTGCTGCTGCAGCAAGTCTGGCTATTACCCCTGCTTGCTGCTTTCTTGCTGCAGCAGCAGCAGCTGCTGCTGCTGCTGCCGTTACAGCAGCAGCA